CATTCCTAGCTGCTTCTCTGGTATTTCCCCTCCAAATTTTACCATTTAGCACCTAGATATGAAAATAAACCAGTACTACCTTATACCTACATTGATGCCATTATTGCCTTTAGGGTTTCAAAAGAAAAACCTTTAATACTAATTTTTTACTAAATTTTTACTTAGGAAATAAAAGTTGATTGTATGCTAACCTGTATTGAATTTTCTTTTAGATACCAAATCGTATTCTCCTCTAAGGAAAGGGGTATAGCATTTATTCAGGTTAGTATTGTAAAAGGGAGGCACAGAAAACATAGATGTTGAAAACATTGTAAAAAGGAGACACAGAAAACATAGATGTTGAAAACATTTTCTGTAATTTAAATCAAATGAGACACTTTATGCAATCTTAGTGTACAAAAGGCAACTGGTAACAATTGGATATTTTAGCACACAAGACTAAAGATCACAAACTATATGAGATTAAAAAATATCCATTGTACATAATCTTTAGCAACTTCAAATGCTAAATAATTATGTTTAAAAAACTAAAACCAGTTTTAATTGATTTGGACACAATGAGTATATATATATATATATATATATCTTCACTTTTCAGGTGGAGATATTACAAAAATAAGGTACATGATAAACTTCTGTGACTTTTTAAAGCTTGAAATCTTGGTTTAAAGAAGTAATTTTCCTTTCTAAAGTATGCATCTGAGAATAGTATCTATAAGTATTTTTAAATTTTCTTGAAAGTATAACTTGGTTAATTCTTAATGATAACTATGATTTTCATGAGGGGGAAAGAAGAGAAAAAGTATATGAAAGGTCAGTTTCTCAAAATTTAAAATATTAAATGTTGCCCAGTCAATGTATAGCATTATAATCTATACATTAGTCATAACAAATTCAAAGCATTCAAGATTTAGTTGCCTTTGGTAACATGGGCCTGAGCATAGAACCTTTTCAATTACTTCTCTTCAGAGATGACCTAATGTTTTGTCTTGTCCACACAAATGCATTCAGAGAGAAAAGTGAAAGTCTTTCACAACAAATCCCATATGTAGATATGGCTTTAGCTCTTAAAGTGAAACATTCATACTTGTTATTATGAAATTTTAGCTTTTTCTGATTAAGGGATTCAAAACAAATGTTTATTCCTTAACATTGTTCTCTGATTTCACATTGCTTGTTTCAGTGTGAAAATGAACATACTACCAAGTTGATCAGTCATGATGAGAATAGAGTCCAACCTCTGATTCACTTCCACATGGTGAGTGCCATACAGGCACAGGATGAATCACAGGTGACCACATTTCCACGTATATTATAATCATTTAAAAAAATAAATAGAGGTTGAGTTACTTTGTAAAAACAGGATGAAAAACATGTAGTTGAATGAATGTGGTCTAGAAATAGACTTGGATTTTTGGAGTTAAATAATTAAAAAAGTACCAACTAAAAGAATGAATTATTGAAACATTCCCTTGAATCTTCGTAGGCTATTCTTACCTCCTATGAGTTGGAGAACTGCTTTAGGGTCTTTCATAAAGTTCCTTATTAACTTACACTGACACTGAATTTTTAACGTCAGAGACTTTTCTTAACACTTTAAAGGCAAAATATAAAATATTATTTCAATTAAAAGGACAAACTCTGACAGATCTATATAGCTTTCAAGTTTAAAAAGTTAAATAGTTCTAAGACTTACAAAGGCCTCATTAGGGAGAATTGAGGGTTGATGTCACCTAATTAGTCCTGAAGGACTTCTGGATTTTGTCATGTAAATGGCAATGGCCTTTGTTAATGCTTAATTCGCTGCTCAGTCATTAAAAATAACTTTGATAATCTCCTGTACACCTGAAACTAATACAACATTGTTTGTTAATCAACTATATACTACAATATAAAACAAAAATTTTTTTAAAAACCTTTGATTTTGAAATGTTCTTTTATACAAATTCAGAAGAGTTGAGGCAGATTAAGAGAAACTACCACATAGTTATTATTGATCATTTAGCATTATATGAATATATTTCTTCATTTGATGATGGTTGGTTTCTACAGAATACGAGAAACATTTATTTCATTGTCATTCTATTAATAATTGCATTCAAGGCTATTTTACAGATTTAAATTATTGCAATTATCATCTTGACAATGTTTAATTTCCCGTAATTTGACCAGGGTCTTCTGGTCAGGAACTTCAAAAACATTTTGAACCTGTGTGATACTCCAAAATAGTCTTCTTTAAACCTCCTGGATCTTGAGCTTCCTGCCTAGCATGTGTCCCTGAGGTATTCAGTACTTTAGTCTAATCCCATGTCTTCCTAATGCTCATCGAACTAGGTTTCCAGAATTCTATTACCTGGAAAGATATCAGATGCAGTGGGCCACAATGGCACTTGAAAATGACACATTAATATCAGTCAGGGCAGTAGCCAGTTTGAATCCCATGAGAAGAGTGAAAGAGTAGCAACCTGGAAAATTCTCACTAGTCCATTTTCAGACAGTCCTGTCTCTTTCTTCAGAATCATTCTACAATTTCTCTGAAGTTACAAGTGTGGCAGTTCATGTATGAATTTTGCAAAATGAAGTAATAGGCTCTGGTAGCTTGTGAAATATGTTTTTTTGAATTTATAAGCCAATCTTGAATAGCAGTTGCTATTAGTATTTTAAATGTATTAGTATTTTAAATTCAAGGTCTTTATTGAAACATGAAGCTTAGATGCTTCCATGGTTTTTCTGCTCACAGTTTAATTTTTTACTTTTATTTCCTATGCTGAATCTGAGGTACTTTGTTGAGTTTCTTGGTTTGATAAATATTCTTCTAGAAGAGCTTTTACCCTATTTTTGATTTAGAAATATCTAACATGCTTTTACTTATTTGTTAGGTCTTATCTAGTATATCTTTATATTAAAAAGTATGGCTTTATAATAAATATTACTTAATAGTACAGAACTATGTTTATACTTTCTCTTAGATATAAAGTTGAAAGGCAAAGGCAAATGGGGGCTTGTTTCATTCATATTTAAAATTTTCATCTGATAAAGAATAATAATAATGCATAGAACAAGATTACAGTGGACTGTTCGGACAGAACCAACATTTCAGCAAGAAGCAGTACTTCAAAATAATGACTACAAAGCTCAAAGAAGGCCCACTGAGAAAACTCAGACTTGATAATGTGACACAAACATGCCAAACCAGTGGAATAACATAGCTACACACATAAAACCTGTATGTTGGAGCAGGCATTATCGCAGTAGGTAAAATCGCCATAGCTGAAATGATTAGAAGGGATTATAGGCAGTCCAAAGAAATAAAATTAAAATGAAAAGACTATAAACATTAGACTTTAATCTTGTGGTTCCAAGTTTAAGCCAAAATAGTAGTCAGGCAAAATTGTGGAACTATTGTGGGGAAAAATAATTTTTCTAAAATGCTTTTTCCTCAGTACAAGCCCCAGAATAAGAGATATTTTCCTTTCAATGGAGAATTGTTGACTTGAAAAAAAATACATACTGTACAACACATGAGCACTATAGGTAGTGCATAATTATGGAGTTATATCTAACACAAGACAACATTTGAGTTGTTGTATTTCAGGTCATGGGAAAGATTTTTATAATTTGTATTTCAAAAGGAGAGAGGCATGCAAAGAAATAGAATGCTGACCTATCTAATTTTAAGTTTAGTTAACTTTGAAAAGAGTCTGTTAAATATTAAGAAACAGGATTTAAGATTCTTTAAAACGTATTTTATTTAGAGTTAGAAATATCTGTGATTTTACGAGTATATATTTCTTACTTGTGTTGAGTGTTTTCATCCTAGCGAAATTCATAAACCTGTGCTTTAATAGCTAGGAGTTTCCATTGGAGTTGTCTTCCTCCTTATGTCTTCATGCTTTCTTGTGTATGAAATATATTCTAAGGTTAAGAGACACTTCATTGTGCAATAGGAAGCTTGGCGAGAAAGAACAATGCTAGGATTTTAGTGACTTATGTTTGAATCAGATATCTTCCACTAACTATGTGTGATCTTGACAAGTCTTTGGCCTTTTGCACCTCCATTTATTCATTTAAAAGTGTTCAATTGGATTTCTAAGATCTCTTTTTGTTTGAAAGTTCCATTTAAATTTCTCATAATTTAGGATTGCTGACAGTTCAATATAAGTATGAAAGTCTGAGTATGGCATAAGAAAAATAATTTTTAGTTATCTGGAAGATACTAAGAGAAAACCTTTAAATATTTCAGTGTAACTTGCAAATATGAGTGAGCTTTGAATGATGCTTCACCAATTTGCCTGCCTTTAACTCTATGATCCTTAATTGTACTTAACAGAAGCAAATAATTATTTATAAAAAGAATCATCTCTATATCTTTCTTTGAGACAGATAACAAGAACATTAAACAATCTATAATTTATGAATTAAAAAATCTAGTGACCGTTACTCTCAAAAATATCAGGACTGGGGAGAACTTCAAGATGGCAGAGGAATAAGACATGGAGATCACCCTCCTCCCAGCAAATACATCAGAAATACATCTACATGTGGAACAACTCCTACAGAACACCTACTGAACGCTGGCAGAAGACCTCACACTTCCCAAAAGGCAAGATACTCCCCACTTACCTCGGTAGGGCAAAAGAAAAAAGAAGAGACAGAGACAAAAGAATATGGATGGGACCTGCACCTCTGGGAGGGAGCTGTGAAGGAGGAAAAGTTTCCACACACTAGGAAGACCCTTCACTGGTGGAAATGGGTGGGTGGTGGGGGCGAAGCTTCAGAGCCATGGAGGAGAGCGCAGCAACAGGGGTGCAGAGGGCAAAGCGGAGAGATTCCCACGCAGAAGATTGGTGCTGACCAGCACTCACCAGCCCGAGAGGCTTGTCTGCTCGTCCGCCGGGATGGGCGGGGGCTGGGAGCTGAGGCTTCGGCTTCGGTTGGATCCCAGGGAGAGGACTGGCGGTGTGAACACAGCCTGAAGGGGGCTAGTGCACCACAGCTAGCTGGGAGGGAGTCTGGGAAAAAGTCTGGACCTGCCAAAGAGACAAGAGACCATTGCTTCAGGGTGCGCGAGGAGAGGGGATTCAGAGCACCGCCTAAATGAGCTCCATAGACGGGCACGAGCTGTTGCTATCAGCGCGGACCCCAGAGACGGGCATGAAACGCTAAGGCTGCTGGTGCAGCCACCAAGAAGCCTGTGTGAAAGCACAGGTCATTATCCACACCTCCCCTCCCGGGAGCCTGTGCAGCCCACCACTGCAAGGGTCCCATGATCAAGGGACAATTTCCCGAGAGAACACACATGCGCCTCAGGCTGTTGCAATGTCACTCCGGCCTCTGCCGCCAGGCTCACCCCGCATTCTGTACCCCTCCCTGTCCCTGGCCTGAGTGAGCCAGAGCCCCCTAATCAGCTGCTCTTTAACCCCGTCCTGTCTGGGAGGGAACAGATGTCCTCAGGCGACCTACATGCAGAGGTGGGGCTAAATCCAAAGCTGAACCCCAGGAGCTGTGCGAACAAAGAAGAGAAAGGGAAATCTCTCCCAGCATCCTCACGAGCAGCAGATTAAATCTCCACAATCAATTTGATGTACCCTGCATCTCTGGAATACCGGAATAGACAATGAACCATCCCAAAATTGAGGTGGTGGACTTTGGGAGCAACTGGAGACTTGGGGTTTGCTTTCTGCATCTAACTTGTTTCTGGCTTTATGTTTACCTTAGTTTAGTATTTAGAGCTTATTATCATTGGTACATTTGTTTAATGATTTGGTTGCTGTCTTTTTTTTTATATATGTAGATATATATATTTTTTTCCTTTTTCTCTTTTTGTGTGTGTATGTGTATGTTTCTTTGTGTGATTTTGTCTGTACATTTTTGCTTTTACCATTTGTCCTAGGGTTCTGTCTGTCACTTTTTTTTTTTTTGCGGTACGCAGGCCTCTCACTGTTGTGGCCTCTCCCGTTGCGGAGCACAGGCTCCAGACGCGCAGGCTCAGCGGCCATGGCTCACGGGCTCAGCCGCTCTGCGGCATGTGGGATCTTCCCGGACCGGGGCACGAACCCGTGTCCCCTGCATCAGCAGGCGGACTCTCAACCACTGCACCACCAGGGAAGCCCTTTAGTATAGTTTTTAACACTTGTTATCATTGGTGGATTTGTTTATTGGTTTGGGTGCTCTCTTCTTTCTTTTTTTACTACTTTTTATTTTTAATAATTTTTAAATTTTTATTATTTTAATAACTTTATTATATATATATTTTTTCTTTCTTTCTTTATTTTTTTTCTCCTTTTTCTTCTGAGCTGTGTGGCTGACAGGGTCTTGGTTCTCTGGCCAGGTGTCAGGCCTATGCCTCTGAGGTGGGAGAGCCAAGTTCAGGACATTGGTCCTGAAGACATTGGAGACCTCCTGGCTCCACGTAATATCAAACAGTGAAAGCTCTCCCAGAGATCACCATCTCAACACTGAGATCCAGCTCCACTCAATGACCAGCAAGCAACAGTGCTGGACATCCTATGCCAAAAAACTAGCAAGACAGGAACACAGCTCTACCCATTAAGAGAGAGGCTGCCTAAAGACACCACAAAACACACCACATGATGTGGTTCTGCCCACCAGAAAGACAAGATCCAGCCTCATCCACCAGAACACAGGCAATAGTCCCCCCCAACTGGAAGCCTACACAACCCACTGAACCAACCTTAGCCACTGGGGGAAGACCCCAAAAACAACAGGAACTACGAACCTGCAGCCTGCAAAAAGGAGATCCCAAACACAGTAAGTTAAGCAAAATGAGAAGAGACAGAAACACACAGTGGATGAAGGAGCAAGGTAAAAACCCACCAGACCAAAAAATGAAGAGGAAATAGTCAGTCTACCTGAAAAAGAATTCAGAGTAATGATAGTAAAGATGATCCAAAATCTTGGAAATAGAATGGAGAGAATAAAAGAAATATTTAACAAGGACCTAGAAGGACTAAAGAGCAAAGCAAACAATGATGAACAACACAATAAATGAAATTTAAAATTCTCTAGAAGGAATCAATAGCAGAAAAACTGAGGTAGAACAATGTATAAGTGACCTGAAATATAAAATAGTGGAAATAACTACTACAGAGCAGAATACAGAAAAAAGAATGAAAAAAACTGAGGACAGTCTTAGAGACTTCTGGGACAACATTAAACACACCAACATTCGAATTATAGGGGTCCCAGAAGAAGAAGAAAAAAAGAACAGGACTGAGAAAATATTTGAAGGGATTATACTTGAAAACTTTCCTAACATGGGAAAGGAAACAGTCAGTCCAGTCCAGGAAGCGCAGAGTGTCCCATACAGGATAAATCCAAGGAGAAACATGTCAAGACACATATTAATCAAACTATCAAAAATTAAATACAAAGAAAAAGTATTAAAAGCAGCAAGGGAAAAACAACAAATAACATACAAGGGTATCCCCATAAGGTTAAGAGCTGACCTTTCAGCAGAAACTCTGCAAGCCAGAAGGGAGTGGCAGGACATAGTTAAAGTGATGAAGTAGAAAAACCTACAACCAAGATTACTGTACCCAGCAAGGATCTCATTCAGATTCAATGGAGAAAGTAAAACCTTTACAGACTAGCAAAAGCTAAGAGAATTCAGTAAGACCAAACCAGCTTTACAACAAATGCTAAAGGAAATTTTCTAGGCAGGAAACACAAGAGAAGGAAAAGAGCAACAAAAACAAACCCAAAACAATTAAGAAAATGGTCATAGGAACATACATATCAATAATTACATTAAATGTAAATGGATTAAATGCTCCAACCAAAAGACATAGACTGGCTGAATGGATACAAAAACAAGACCCGTATATATGCTGTCTACAAGAAACCCACTTCAGACCTAGGGACACATACAGACTGAAAGTGAGGGGACAGAAAAAGATATTCCATGCAAATGGAAATCAAAAGAAAGCTGGAGTAGTAATTCTCATATGAGACAAAATATACTTTAAAAAAAAGACTATTACAAGAAACAAAGAAGTACTCTACATAATGATGAAGGGATCAATCCAAGAAGAAGATATAACAATTGTAAATATTTATGCACCCAAAATAGGTGTACCTCAATACATAAATCATATGCTAACAGACGTAAAAGGGGAAATTGACAGTAACACAATCATAGAACAGGACTTTAACACCCCACTTTCACCAATGGGCTAGATAATCTAATATGAAAATAAAGAAGGAAATACAAGCTTTAAATGACACATTAGAGAAGATGGACTTAATTGATATTATAGGACAGTCCATTCAAAAACAGCAGAATACACTTTCTTCTCAAGTGCTCCTGGAACATTCTCCAGGATAGATCATATCTTTGGTCACAAATCAAGCCTTGGTAAATTTGAGAAAATTGAAATCGTGTCAAGTATCTTTTCTGACTACAACGCTACGAGACTAGATATCAATTACAGGAAAAAATCTGTAAAAATTCTAAACCCATGGAGGCTAAACAATACACTATTTAATAACCAAGAGTTCACTGAAGAAGTCAAAGAGGAAACAAAATAATATGTAGAAACAAATGACAATGAAAAGACGATGACCCAAAACATAATGGATGCAGCAAAAGCAGTTCCAAGAGGGAAGTTTATAGCATTACAATCCTACCTCAAAAAACAAGAAACATCTCAAATAAACAACCTAACCTTATACCTAAAGCAATTAGAGAAAGAAGAACAAAAAAACCCTGAAGTTAGCAGAAGGAAAGAAATCATAAAGATCAGATCAGAAATAAATGAAAAAGAAATGAAGCAAACGATAGCAAAGATTAATAAAACTAAAAGTCGGTTCTCTGAGAAGATAAACAAATAGATAAACCATTAGAAAGACTCATCCAAAAAATGGACAAGATTCAAATCAATAGAATTAGAAATGAAAAAGGAGAAGTAACAACTGACACTGAAGAAAAAAATGGATCATGAGAGGTTATTACAAGCAACTGTATGCCAATAAAATGGACAACCTGGAAGAAATGGACACATTCGTAGAAAACCACAACCTTCTGGGACTGAACCAGGAAGAAGTAGAAAATAAAAACAGACCAATCACAAGCACTGAAATTGAGACTGTGATTAAAAATCTTCCAACAAACAAAAGCTCAGCACCAGATGGCTTCACAGGCAAATTCTAGCAAACATTTAGAGAAGAGCTAACACCTATGCTTCTCAAGCTCTTCCAAGATATAGCAGAGGGAGGAACACTCCCAAACTCATTCTACGAGGCCACCATCACCCTGATACCAAAACCAGACAAGGATGTCACAAAGAAAGAAAACTACAGGCCAATATCACTGATGAACATAGATGCAAATATCCTCAACAAAATACTAGCAAACAGAATCCAACAGCACATTAAATGTATCATACACCATGATCAAGTGGGGTTTATCCCAGGGATGCAAGGATTCATCAATATATGCAAATCAATCAATGTGATAAACCGTATTAAAAAATTGAAGGAGAAAAACCATATGGTCATCTCAATAGGTGCAGAAAAAGTTTCTGAGAAAATTCAACATCCATTTATGATAAAAATCCCTCCAGAAAGTAGGCATAGAGGGAACTTACCTCAACATAATAAAGGCCATATATGACAAACCCACAGCCAACATCATTTTCAATAGTGAAAAACTGAAACCATTTCCTCTAAGATAAGGAACAAAACAAGGTTGCCTACTCTCACCACTACTATTCAACATAGTTTTGGAAGTTTTAGCCATAGCAATCAGGGGAAAAAAAATAAATAAAAGGAAACCAAATTGGAAAAGAAGTAGTAAAGCTGTTATTGTTTGCAGCTGACATGATACTATACATAGAGAATCCTAAGGTGCTACCAGAAAACTACTAGAGCTAATGAATGAATTTGGTAAAGTAGCAGGATACAAAATTAATGCACAGAAATCTCTTATATTCCTTTACAGTAATGATGAAAAAGCTGAAAGAGAAATTAAGGAAACACTCCCATTTACCATTGTAACAAAAAGAATAAA